ACCACCGCTATCTCGGCTTCCCAAAGGCCCTTCTTTGCTAGGAGCAAAGCAAGATAGCCATCCAATACCACCCCAAACAGACCAATCAGGCAGAGGCCGACCAACATGAGAACGAATTCACGGTGGTTGAGAAGACCGATGACGTTGTTCACCCATTTGCAATAATGGTCATACCGTCGGACCTTCCTTTTGTATTGCCAGGACTTATGTGCTCGGAATGGGCGTTCTCCCTGCTCCAGGTCAATCCCGTCCAGCGGGATATTCCGCATTTTCTTGAGTTGCCCGGGGTCTGCCAAAGAGCAGTACCCCATCAACACCACCGTGACTGCAGCGAGCCCAACTTCCAAGGCTATCAAAGGAGCCTCGGCCTGGGACCATGACTGCAACCGGCACAGCAGTGGAATCTGCACAATGGCGCTGCAGATTGCCGCTAGCACCACGGACACGCCCAGTGCGGGAGGCAAGGCTGGCTTGAAGTCATAGCCACAATATACATATTCTCCCGTCGCTTCTTCACTCTCCCGCGCTTCATTCAGGCACAGCCCGTCAAAACAGGGCTCGGACTCCTGCGTAGAAGACTCCTGCTCACCCTGTGAGGTTGGCGAAGACTGAGCCAAGATCATCGTAGGGGCCAGGTTGGCGGCCATCATGCTTTGTGTTGCAGGCGCTCCGAACCTTCCATATGTTGCCATCTGCTGTTGGGGCCAGCCACCAGCAGTCCACGTGGGCGGGAGGGACATTCTCTGTGGCAGCGTTCCGGCTTGCAGACATGTGACATTTGAGCCAAGACTTGAGCTAAGCACATACTTGACATCAATGAGTGTGTGCATGCGATGAAGCTGACATGCTCTGGGTAATGTAACGCCATGTACTGCGATGATTGTATGTACATGTATGTACTTGTTTGCATGTATGCATGTCGTATGCATGTACGGATGCACGTGCGTATGCAGGCACAGTATGTTTGTCCATGCATGCTTGCATTTTTTACATATATACAGGAGTACCTCTTGACGTCTGGCCGTACGTTTGCCGAAACAAGCTATTGTTGTCATCTCTACTGTCACTACTAGGCTATATGTATATATGTATATATGAGGGGATAATCATAATAACACATGTCTGGATGCGAACGAGTATCTCGGAGTCTGGCACATGCGACACAATTGTGCGAAAAAAATGCCCTGCGGCGACTCTGCCAGGAAGGACACTCCACCAGAATCACTTAGTGAGCGGGACTCGTGCACTGAGGCCAAGCATCGGAATCTATTTCAACAAAACCTCACAGAAGCATTGGCAATTTCTGAAAGCGAAACTAAGCACCGCGAATATGGCGAAGAAACACACCGGAACACAGAAGAACGGGAGCAAGCAAACTGGGCCCAGGGTTTGTGCTTCGGATTTTCGGTCGCTCAGGGTTTGGACTCCGGTAACCTTGGGCCCCCCAAAATGATCTTGAACTATGAGTCTATTGAACCATCGGGATGAGCTTTCGGAAGCTAACTCAACAGGACAGCCGGGCCGAGGGACTTAGAGCACTCCCGGTAGCAACTCTCATAGGATCCCTTTAAAGGAGTTTTCGAGGAACACAGGGTTAAGGGTGGGGTTCTCGCTCACAGCGCCTCTCGCAACGCAGGAGGCGCCCCGCGCAGCACAGAACCAAACTCCACGCCAGTAGCCATGAGCCTCCAGGGCGATACGTCTTCGTGGTTCTTGTGTCAAGGTTCCTCCATGAGAGGTCAACCAGAGTTCTACAAGTGCGTCTAGAGTTTTTGTGCCTTTCCGGCTTTCGGAGTGTGTAGGGTTGTTCCGTGTCTTAGGGTTTGGATTCAGGTGTAGGCTCCGCCTTTTGGAGTTGGTTTACGATGGGACATTTGGGCTTTTAGGCTCCTCCGCCGCTTACCGTAAGTTCTAGATTCAGACCTCTATGTAGTGCTTACCCGCGTGTGGAATGCAGCAATTCTGGCAACACTTGGATCCACGCACGGTTTAGGGTTAAGGGTTCAGAGTTTATAAGGATGTGAGACTTCTCAGCCGAGCTTCGTAGTTTTAGCCCCCAAAAAATGCTGCACCCGAGACAAGACTCCCCAAAGCCCTAAACCCCAAAAGCTAAATCCTAAACCCCAAAAAACCCTAAAGCCCCAAACCCCCCAAACCCTAAACCCCCAAAAACCAAATCCTAAACCCTAAACCCTAAAACCCCCCAAACCCTAAACCCAAAAACTGAATCCTCAACCCTAAACCCTTAAACCCTAAAGAGGGGCGACGAGTCGAAGGGTTCGCCACCTTCCTACAGCAAGTCAGATCCCCGCCTGCAGTGCGCCATCCTCCTGAAAGCAGAGGAGCGTCGGGGTCCCAAGGAAGACCCTTTCAAGGGTTTAGGGTTTAAGGTTTGGGGTTCAGGGGTTTGGGTTTAGGGTTTAAAGGGTTCAGGGTTTTGGGTTTAGGGTTCAGGGTTTTGGCTTTAGGGTTCAGGATTTAGGGTTTAGGGTTTGTAATGTGGGGGGCCTCAAGGATTAGAATAGGGTTTCGGGTATGCTCTGGTTATAATAAGGAACCCCGAAAAAAAGTCTAGGCAAATATTTAGGCCCCTCTGTTAACAAAAGTGCTTGGGGTTGAATGGAAGAATTTGAACCACAAAAGCCTAGATAAGCTATAAGTGTTGTCCGGTTCGATATTAGCGAAGACGTTTTAAAACTATCCACCCCCCGCTTTCTTTAAGGGGTCTGGGTTGGGACAGTGGAGGTGGTGCTGCCGCAGAGGCTTGCGGAGCCTCTGGGTCCAGAATGCAAGGATCAAGATCCCTATACTCTAAAGCCACCCCTTTATGGAAGGGGGATATGGGGTTTCCCTAAACCCTAAACCCACCTCTCTATCGATAGGGGGTATGGGGTTCAGAGGGTTCAGGGAGTTCAAGGAGTGATGGGGTGATGGGGCTTTGAGGTCGAAGGAGAACTCAGAAAAGTGGCATCACCCCGAAACTCTGGCCCAAATCTTACACCATCCCTCTGTACTAGAGTTGCTACCCATAGGCCCCATAGTAGTTCCTTCTTGGGGTTACCTTATAGGATTCTATATATGAACCCCGGAAAGGAACTACTTTAGGGCCTATGGATAGAGCCTTGAAGATCCCAGCCTGCGGTAAAGCAAAGCTACTAAGCTTTTCGGGACCAGTCCTGCGCAAGTCTTAATTGTTTAGGGTTTAGGGTTTCGGGTTTCGACTCTCACACGGGTTTCGGGTTTAGGGTTTAGGGTTTCGGGTTTAGGATTAATAGCCGGAGAGATCGACAGAGGACAGTACCCATATTAAACAGTCTTGCTAAACATCCTGATCGTAAAGCCCTACTTGCAGGATCAGCGGAAGTAAATCAGTAAGCAGGGTTGCAACCAATTCAACTGTAGCGATATCTTCTAACCCCAATCAAGGTATCCAAAACCTGCCTACCATGTCCTCTGAAACCTCTCAGACTCCAAGCAAGCGACAGCACAGAATCCCCTTCAGCGTCGAAGTCGCCGCACATCCTAAGGCCTACATGCTAGCCCAGAAAGACCATGAGTATACGGAGACCTTACTGATGTTCAACAGAGTCTTGCGGTATGTAGTGGTAGACGTCGATTACTGAAGCAACCCCAAGGGCTGGTCGGGGTGGTGTGGGTTTAGGGTTTCGACTCACACACTCGGGTTTAGGGTCTAGGGTTTCAGGCCTCCATCTGAAACACTCTGTTTCAGAGACAGCGGCTAGCGGAAATTTAAGTTCCAGAATGTTGAAATGGAAGGTCTGAGCTTGCTTGCTTGATTGGTTTATAAGGAATACTAACCCCTTAGTCGAAATCACCCTAAACCCTAAACCCGATATCCTAGCTAACCCTGCTGAAACCCTGCGGAACCCTCATAGAACCCTGACAATCGCCCATACAAGCCCTGGTCCTTAGCAGCGCCAGTGCGGCTTCCCAAGCGCCAGCGTCGCCCGCTCCACTCATCACAGCCGCGAAAGCTCCGGGATTTGGGTCCGAGCTGACCTCGCTGTCGGCTTTCGGGGGTGTAGGGTTTAGGCGTTTAGGGTTTAGGGTTTAGGGTTAGGGTTTAGGGTTTTAGGGTTTAGGGTTTAGGGTTTAGGGTTTACCCATATAAGGCCCATAGTAGTTCCCTTTTTGGGACTACAGAATAGGATCCTAAAGATAAGCAACAAAACGGAACTACTATGGGGCCTGTGGGTAGGGTGGGTTTGTCTTGCGGAACCGACAAACCGAAGACTTTGAGGGCTACATCCCAAAAAACATGGTCAGAAGCTGCAATTTCTAGGGTTTGGCTTTACAGGTTGGGGCTTCAGGGGGTTTGTTTAAGCGTTGTGTGCGGGGTTGGAGAGGGTGAGTGAAGGGGCGTGGTTGGGAGGCTTAGGCTCAGAGTTTTTAGGGTTTACGGGTTAGGGTTTAGGGGTTTAGGGTTTAGGGTTTAGGGCTTTAGGGTTTACGGGTTAGGGTTTAGGGTGCTCCGAAAGGCACCGTTACCAGGCATAGCAACTGGCCGGATTTGGCCAGTGCTCAGGAATTGTGGTCAAAGCCCGCGAGAGTGATTGGGGCCTACGCTTTGTGTTTTCCATAAACACATGCCTGCATGTATGTATGTATGTATATATATATACACATAGATATGTATGTATATAGAGAAACTAACTTATGTGCATACTTATGTCTACGTACTACGGTACATATATGTATACAGATACCTTTGACACAGAAGGCTGCTTCAGAACGACCCCTTGCCCATCTCGCTAGGATCTGGCGTGAGGCTCGTGATCAAGCCATTGCCCAGAAAACCTACCTCTTGAAGGAAGTATGCAAAAATCTGTAATAAGGAACCTAACAAGGTAGGGTTTTGGGGCTGCAGGATTCCGTGCTACAGCGGGCTTCTTCGGGCTAAAACCCTGCAGAGCTTCGCTCTGTTGGTGTTACGTTTAGGGCCTAGGGTTACGGTGAAGTTTTAGGGCGAAGTTCTCTTGTTGGTTCAGCTCCTTCTTCCCGCGAGACGCTTCTTTTCCTGTTCAGGCTTCGGGGTCTCTGGCTTTCAGATGGCGGATCACCCTGAAGCTTCAACAAGAAACCCCGAGCTTCGGAGTTCAGGCTTTCCTCTAAATCAAAATGACTCGCGAGTTTAAGATTTAGGGTTTAGGGTGTGTCATAATGGCTCGAGAATTGAAGTAGATTGCGACATACCAGCTGCAAGCCCTAATAGCTGAAGGCCAGCTGCGTCGAAGATCGCCAAGGCACCTTCCTCGGTGATTTGGCAGCCAAAAGCAAGAGCAAAGCGAAGATCTTCATACTGAAAATGACCAGCGTGCGATTTGCTTGCGTGGCTCAGCCACCTCACGATGAGTGCATGAGTGATCTAGCTCAACTCGTTTGGGGCTGCCTAAAACTCTTGAATTCAATCCCTGCCCCTAAACCCCAAACCCCCCAAAATACTGAAGCTCAAAAGCCTTCAACCCAAAAGCCCTCACATGGGGGTTTCCGAAAATAGGGGACCCTAACATAGTACCCTACATAGTAGGATCCTTATTATAAGGACCCCCAAATAAGGTACCCCTAATTTTCGGACACTCCCAAATCCCTAAACCCTAAACCCTAATCCCTAAACCCTAAACCCTAAACCCTAATTTAGAAAGCTACCCAAATCGGGACCTAAGATCCCAAAAGCCCCCACATGCCTTTCTAGGTCGTCGCTCCGACCCTTCAATCCCTCCAAGCAGGGATGCTAAGGTTCAAAGCTACCACCCAAAGGCTCCATGTACCTTTATAGAAGATACTTAGGCCTTAAATGGGTCCCTATATTGGTACTTGAAGGCTTAAGTATCTACTATATGGGTACATGGAGCCTTAGGGCAACTTAGGGCTTAATGTAGGGGCTTTAATAATTAGAATAGGGTTTTAGGAGGGTCCTTACTATAATAAATAGTATAATATACCCCCAGACCTTATTCTAAGGTTTAAGGCCACAACTTAGGGCCTAGGTTGTTGGAACAAGCAGCTTCCCTCACCTGAGAAACCCTAAACCTCTTCCGTTTAGGGGTATACAGTAAGAGATCACACTCTCGACGTCGACTCTACATATGTATATATATATATATATATGTGTGTGTGTGTGTGTGTATATATATATATATAGCCCAGAACCCTGTAAAGTCATGTGTTTTACCATGGAAACAGCACGGCATTGGGCTTATGAGGGTAGGAACCTTTAGCGAAAGACCCCTCAGACACGGGTATTGGAGGGTCTAGCCAGGACAGCACAATGGATGCTTCGATAGAGCTCAATGAAATAAATCAGAGTAGGCAATTCGTGACTGTTTGAGTCTCCAGGCTATGCCTTTAGCTATCTCCGACAGAAGGCTCTTAAGCGGCCACGGCTTCGGCTTAACATGAGATCCTTAAAGTCAGGGGGGCTCAAGGGGGTTATGTAATCCAATAATCCCTTATTCTCCCCAGTGCTCTGTAAGGTTCCCCTAGTAGCCTCCCCCCGTTGAACCACCCTCCCTTCAGGATCCTCAGGTCTATGCACCGTACTCCCTGCAACGTGGCAGACTCCCGACGCGTGGTCCCCTTGCTGAGGCCTGAATGCCTTGCAGAACCCTGAACAGGCCACTATCTGCAAGGCCCAAAACAAACGGTTTCGGGCTTCAGAGCT